CAGCTGTCACCTGCGCCGCCCAGAGGAGAGGATGGAAAGGTAGGGTTGCCCTTCCCGCGTCCAGCCGGCCGTGATGCACCGGCGCAGCTGTCAGAGAGGAGCTTGGCAGGAAACTGCTCGACCATGTCGTGTAAGATGTACAGGTTACCATGCCTTTCCAACTTAAAACTGCCAGCGCTCGGTGACGTGAGAGCGGCTCCATGACGATTTTGGGAATACTCCCACCCCGAATCGGTCAACAAAATGATGGCCATCAGACTCGAGGTGGCCGTCTCGCACAGCAAGCATGACGGCAAGAAGACGCCACCGCAGTTGAAGTCCGCCTGCTCGGTGACGACGGTTTCACCGTTAGCGGTCTCACACACGAGTGGCTAGGGCAACGGGCTACGGTTTAAGGCATATTTGCAATCTTCCCCACACAACACATGTCTCTCTGCTCCCGTCTCCCCTATCATAGAGAGGCTGGCGCTGGATGAGATGATGTTTGCACCTAGAGTCAGGCCTGGCACAGGGGCCCAGACCATATTGCCAGAAGCCAGAGAGGCGCGCCAACAGTGCCTTGGCGCCCTTATAACTGTCTTTTTACTGGGCCATGTATTCCTCCGTGAGGGCCGAGGGTCTCCAGCGTGACACCCATGCTCGAATTAGGCGAGGCTGGCCCAACTCCGCCGCCCGAAAAATCATCTGACGAGGCAGGGCCGGTACCGATCCGGCCATCTATCCCATCGGTTCCAACTTGGCTGGCTCCTATCCGGCTCCTTTTCCTTGAATCCAAACCGGGTTGTGGCGGGGGGGCGCCAGTCACGGTAGCCCCCGGGGTGCCACCTGGGCTGCTGGGTCCAATCCAGCTTTGGTTGTAAGCGGTACCACTGTCTCCTCTCTTACCTACGTACTTTCCTTTCCCTTTTCCTTCGTTCGGGCATTCATTGCCACAGTGGTCGTACTGGCCACATTTTCTACACGTGCCTTTTGGCAATGGTTGCGACTGCTGGTTCCAAGAACCATTGGGAGGGTTTGGGGAAGCGGGCCAAGGTGGGTAAGAGGTTGCGTGCGCAAACTTGCATCTGCCGCCGTACTGACAAAAACCACTAAGATAGAACGAACACGGTATACATTTCTCATTATCTTTGCCCTTTCCTTTGGTAGCCTTACCTTTGGTATCCTTCCCTGTCTGGACTGCTCCGGCCAGCACGCTAGGAGGTACAGGAGGAGGGGGAGGTGCGTCTGAGGCAAGACCAACCCATTCGCCCGCTTTCCAGTAAGCTGCGTCGAAGATGGCATGCGGGTCGTTAGGGCTGGTCACGGACACCATCTCCAAAGCCACCTGGAGAGGCTTTCCCTTCCCGACTAGTTCCGTGAGTGACCGTAGTGCTGTTTGTTTGGACGGTGTCGACCCTATGGCTCGCAGTTCCTCGTACTCGGATTTCCAGATGCGCAGTGCGTGCTGCAGGTGCGCTTCGTCGGTTGCAGGGGTCGGGCCCGAGAACTTGTCGTTCAAGGCCGCCGCGCGGGAGGCGCTGGATGCCATAATTGCTTGAGCTAGCGATGCGAGCATGGTAATGCCGTCGGCACGGTCGGCCGACTGAAGATATAGACTCATGTCTTCATCGGCTAGCCGAGACAACTCAAACGCGAGAGCCTTATTGGCTTTGGCGAAACGTGGATTGTCGTGGATGGGGCTGGTGTTCAGATCAGGTTCGGCAAGCACTTGGCGGACTGATTCCGCAAATCCGTCCGCTTGGCAGCCGCACCAACTCGCCAACCGCGTGTGCACCCAGTGGCGACAACTCTTGACAGTTGGTAGAGTGCGTGGTCCCTTGGGCATCAATTGTAAAGGTTGTTTGCTTCCAGTGCTATGTGTTTGCATGGCTGAGGCGACCTCTGCCAAGCTCTCCGCCATGTTGCGCATCAAACATGCGTCGACATCTGAGGGCGAATCTGGGGTCGGCGATCCTGGAAAAGGTTTGCCACGAGGCGGAAGGCCAGGAGGATGCAAATCGGACGGGTCTACTGGTCTTCCAGCCGGACGTGACGCAGCGTCACGGCTGTCGGACGAGGTAGTGGCGGCCATGCGAAAACCAGTACTTCCAGCCGGACGTGACACAGCGTCACGGCGGTCGGATCTGGTAGTGGCGAGCATGCGACGGTCGGAAGGCCAGGATGTTTGGGCCCGTTGGCTTCCTCCTCCTGACCTCTCCCCTTCCCTCGACCTCCTCCCCTCCGACTCCTACCCTCTCCAGGCCCAGGTAGGCTTCCTTGACGGCTCGGCCACGTCCAGTGACGCCAGGGTTTGTCGGGTCGGTTGGGGGGGTTACTTTCGTTTCGAGGGGGGGGGCGAGCTGGACGTGGACCAGGGGCCCATGAAAGGACTTTTTGGCACCATCGCGGCCCTGGTCTGGGCCCTGCGGGTCACCACGGGGCCGATTTTGCTTTGGACGGACTGCCAGGTTGTTTTCCACGGCTGGCATGAGGGCCTCGCGGAATCGCCGTCGGGCCCCCTTGTCCGCTGGTGGGATAGGGTTAAGACAGCCCTGCTTCGCAGGGGCGACGGTAGGGTTACTGTAAGGAAATGCTTCTCTCATTTGGACGTCGATTCCCATCTGCAAATAGGCCAGTGTGTGCAGGTTTCGAAGGGAAACGAGATGGCGGATCAGCTGGCCCAGCGAGGAGCGAAGGCCGCATCCCAGCACATCCGTACGGCTATCAGGAGTTTGAACATCGCTGACGCGAGAGCCACCCTCGTGCATCAACGAATGGGGGCGATCCTGGCACAAGTTTGCGAAGACCTGGACCGTTCGGACCGCGGTGTTTTCGGTTTGGCGACGGGGCCTTCCAGGCTCCAGGAGCTCGAGGCCCAGTCGGGGCACGAGCTCGGGCGGCTGGAAAACAGGCTGTGGTCGTGCAAACGGTGTCGACAGGGCCCTGGTAAGTACTCCGTGGCGGACTGGTTAGAACGCACACCGTGTCTCGGGGATGTTGCCAAGAGGGATCTGAGCGAGCAAGGCCACCACTTCTTTGTCCCCCCACCGTTATAAGCCACCTGCGGGTGGGGTCTAAGACGGGGCATCCCTCGCATTCGATCGCCATGCAGCATGGCTTGGCGTAGTGCTGGGGATGTGCGCGCTATGCCTCCATCGTTGCGGGTGAAGGGCGCCTGTGCAAGCTAACCCAAGAGTGCCCTAAGATGCGCACGCGGTCTGGCCAGACTATGATCAACCGTCTCCGTAAGGGCCTCACCCCGAAAGCGGGGATGTCCTGGCCTATTCCCCCAGCTGGGGGGAGCGGACCTCCTTTGCCGTTGGTCGGCTGCTCTATCAAGTCTTTTGGGAGGAGGACGGACGGGGGGGTGGGCCGCTCGCTCAAGAACCCCCCCCGAAGACCACAGTGAATTACGCGTAGTTTACATGTGCATTCTCTGTCGGAGAGGCGTAGCACTGCTGCGGCCTCTCTTTGAAGTAGATTTCTTCAGATTCATCCTCCTCCTCATCCTTTTCGTCCACCTCCACCTCCTCCTCCTCCTCCTCCTCCTCCTCCTCCTCCTCCTCCTCCTCCTCCTCCTCCTCCTCCTCCTCCTCCTCCTCCTCCTCCTCCTCCTCCTCTCCTCCTCCTCCCTCCTCCTCCTCCTCCTCCTCCTCCTCCTCCTCCTCCTCCTCCTCTTCCTCCTCCTCCTCCTCCTCCTCCTCCTCCTCCTCCGCCTCCTCCGCCCCACCCCTCCTCATGCTCCTCCTTCTCGTGTTGCTTCTCCTGTGTATCGTCCTGCATCATGCCCGCCCTCCTCCCCTGCGACGACATACCCCCCCCCGTCCCCACCATTTTGGCGCGAACGGGGAAATGAAATAGCCCCTGGCGGCTCCCCCTTGGGGTGCTCAAATGCTATGCCTGCTCTATCGCGGTGATCGTGACGCCCTCAAACGAGAGGGGCCGCAAATGCAAAACGAGCGCGTCGATCTGGGCATCCCCCTCGCCATCCTCAGCTACTCGCCGTTGGATACTTGGGTCCTTGCTGAGCCAACCTCCCCACGGCTGTGGCCGCCGGACGCGACTCGAAGGCCTCTGTCAGGATGCCGCCTCTTACTCCTTGTCATCCTTCTCGTCCATCGGCAGCAGCATCAGTTTCACAATCCTCACCATCATATACTCATGGCTTTCCTCCTCCACCTTCCCAACCCAACCCACCCACACACCACCCAACCCACCACCCCTCGTCCCCATGCTTTGCGTTATCATCAGACCTGCATTGGTTTGGCGAAGTGCCTGGCCCGACTCTGGGCGGAGCAACTGCTGCCGATATCGGATCAAAGCGAGCCCCCAACTCCGCCTTGTCATCATTTCCCTTATCCTCTTTGTATCCTGTATCCTCCTCTACCCCTCCTGCGCCACCTTCTCTTCCTTCTTCGCCTCCTCCATGTTCCAGCCCGTTTTCTCCTCATCGTCCATTGTCGTCCTTCCTTCCTTCTCCTCCTCCTGTGTAGACAGCTTCTTTTCTGAGTGTGCATAAATCCTTCATCCTCTTCCTCTTCTGTGTCGTTCGATGTACTGTTGTCCTCCTCGTCGTCCTCCTCCTCATCCTCCTCCTCCTCCTCCTCGTCCTCCTCCCCCTCCTCCTCCTCCTCCTCCTCGTTTTCCCGCTTCTCATATTGCTCTCCTCTCCTCCGGCTACTGCTCCTCCTCCTCCTCCTCCTCCTCTTCCTCCCCCCGTCCCTCTCTCCTCGTCCTCCCTCCGCCCCCTTCCCTCCTCCCTCTTCCTTCTCGTCCTCCTCCTCACATACAACATTTCCGCCTCCCTTCCCGATCCTTTCCCTTTGGGGGGGGACAAAAAGAAAACTATACCGCCACTCCCTGGGCCTTCCCGGGATGAATTACAACCCGAATTTCGGGGCGAATCCCGCCGTAGCGACGAGGGCCTCCCAGGAGGCCCCCAAAAAGGGGAAACGAGGGAATGGTAGCGGCATCGGCACCTCCTCCCCCCCCCCTCCCTCCACCCCCGCCCAGGGCCCCGCCAGAACGTGCTGCAGGATCTCCGAACGTTCCCTGTGCGCCTGCTTCTCCAGCCCGGCGCCGTCCGACGCGCTGCTGCAACACGCCGCGCGGGTGACCTCCGCCGCCCCACCCGCCCTTTGGGGAGGCTGCGGGAGGACCGAGGGGGTGAGAGGGAAGGCCCAGGAAGAGGGAGGAAGGGGGGGAGGCAAGCGAGGAGAGAGCGCGTTGCGTAAACGCCTGCTCGGACACATCGCTGGACACGTCGGAACCGCCGCCCCCCCCCGGTAAACATGTCAAGCGCTCGGATGAACGGGGGGACCCCCACCGGACACTGGCCTCTCTAACCGGCCCCCCTCCCCCCAAGGGGAAGGGAGGTTTCGAACCGCCACCCCCCACCCCTGAATAGTGAAATCTTCGTAGGGCTCTCTCCAGCTCTAACAGGTGCTGGACCCAAATCTACTTGAACCCTACTACGCCTCGGTCCAACTATAGGGGAATTCTACTACAACTGGATACAACTTTGACAGGATCCTCATCGGGCTCGGTCCAACTCTGAAAAAGTCCTGCTACAACTGGGTCCAACCTCAATAGGCTCCGAGTCGAATGGGCCCAATTCTAATGTAATCCTACTATAGGGGTCCAGCTCAAATTGAACCTTCCGAAAGCATGAGCCAGCTCAAATAGAATCGCACTATACCTGGACCAATCTCTAACTGAATCCTACTTTGGCTCGATCCAGCTCTAACATAATCTCACTTAGTCTCGATCCAGCCTTGATAGCATCCTACTGAGGCTCCATCGTCGGCGTCGTCGTCGTCGCTGCCCGACGACGCCGGCGCCAGCGCCGGCGCTCGCCGCCGTCGGCTGCCTCAGGGGCAGGAGGGAAGAGAGCCTCCCCCCCTTGCAATTCAGGCGGGGCAGGGCCCCCCCCCGGGATTCCCCCCTTTGTCAAAGCGTTCACAGAACACGTTATTTCCAAGCTGGGTGCGCTCGCGCCATACCAAAACGTCCTATCAATCCCTCCCATCCCTTCCGATTGCGTTGATTTGTGTTCTATCTGCCGACGGGTGGCATAGCGGACATGGAACCCCCCAAAGGATACCATGGTGTTATGCGCTATCAGAAAAGGGGAGCTGTGTATATTAAAGGAGGAGGAGGAGGAGGAGGAGGAGGCGGCGGATGAGATGGAGCATGAGCAGGAGCAACAGGAGGACGATGAGGAACGAGGAGGACGAGGAGGAACAACAGCAGCACGAGCAGGAGTGGGAGAAGCGGGGGGCGGAGGAGGACCAGGGGAAGGCGGAGGAGGGGGAAGGAGCGGGGAGACAAAGATGAGGAAGGACTTGGATTCCAAAGAGTGGCCCGCGCTGGGGCGAGAGCGCCATTCTGAACGGCAGGGGCAAAGCGATCCGAAGACAGGGCCCACGGGGCCCACGCTGCAGTGGGAGCGCAAGTTTTGGAAGAACCGAAAACGGCTGGACTGCAAACTGGCATTCGAAAAACACCATTCAGAGGAAAGCGCGCCATTCTCAGGAAGTCTTCGGGGGAGAGGGGAAAGTAGAACTCATATCGTGCAACTGTAAAGAAGGATGGGCGGGGAGAATGAGAAAGAGGAGGAGGAGGAGGAGGAGGAGGACACCGAAGGAGGGGCGAGGGAGGAGGGAGGAAAGGAGGGACTACGGAGGGAGAGCGAAAAAGAGAGAGAGAGAGAGCAAGAGAGAGAGCGCGAGAGGGAGAGAGAGAGAGACAAGAGGGGGAGAAGAGGGGGGGGCACGTGGCTCTGCACTACGTGCTTGTAGTTGTAATAGTTAACGACAGTAGTAGAAGTAGCACTACCAAGTGTAGTAGCAGTAGTGCTAGCACCACTACCAACCAACAGCAGTAGCAGCAACAGTAGCCGTAGCAGTACTGGTAGCAGTAGCAGTTGTAGCTGTAAAGAACAAAATAACTGTATGTCTTATTGCAGTTGCACAACAGTTGTAGGAGTAACACGAGTAGAAGTAGCATTAGTAGTCGTAGGCGTACTAGCAGCGTAGGTCGCACTATTAAAACTACGCCTTTGTATGTAGCGCGGCACTGTTGGCCGACGCTCTCGCTGAATTAAGAAGCGCGGCGTTCACTATTTCGTTTGCCAGGGAATAGTGGGAATAGTTCACCATTCCCCTGCCAAATCTAAGCAGGCCGAACAAATAAGGTTCGTGTTGTTTTGATGTGTTCTCGCTCTCGGGCGTAACACGCGCCGCGACTCCACCAAATAGAATAATGTCAACGTCAACATATCGCTTCCAGTGAATGTCGGCGCGGTGCCTTGGCCAACTATCAGCTTGCGGCGCTTGCGGTCGAAACAACGTGACACCATTAGTAATAGTGGTAGTGGTAGTGGTAGTAGTAGCCGTAGTCAGTGTGGGTGTAGTGCCCCTTTCGTATGACTCGGATTGTTCCGCGCGACTGCTGCTTAAGGCAATCCTGAGGCCCCCCCTCCGCTCCTGTGCGAAGCTAATGCGGCTGTACATGGGAAACTTGGGCGAGAAGTTCTTCATGCCGACCACCTGGAGAGGGGGCAAAGGGACAGGAGCAAATGAGGGCAGGGAAGGGGAACGCGACTGCATGAACGGAGGGCTGAAAGTGTGACGAGGGGGAGCGCGTGAGAGTGTGGACAGGGGGCGGGACAGGAAGGGGGCCATGCGTGGCAGCAGAGTCTGCTAAACGAAGAGAGGCGGGGGCGAGGCATGGCATGCGGGAAGGTAAGCGGGGAAGGGGGGGGGGGGGGGGGGAAATTGCGGAGCGCATTAGGAACTGTTCGAGGCACTCACCCTGATGAATCCAATCGGCGAGGCACTACAATGAATGCAGATCTTCATTCTGAGTTCTGGACTGGGCAAATGGATGTATCATCCTGCTGCTTGAAAGAACGCCCTTCACGGCTACGAAGAAAATGTGTTTGATTATTCCCAGGTGTGCGGCGCACGCGTGGGCCATACCCCGCTGCCTTGAACCAGGTCTGCTGCAAATCGATATGGAATCCTGCTTCAAATCCCGATTGATCTCTGGATGTTGCCCGCGGTCGGGGGTCCAACCGTGGCGGTCTGGCCAGTGGACATTGCACTCACGCCGCCGGTCTCGACCATACGTGCGTTGCCACCAGTGGCGGTAACCGATATCGAGCAGTATGACAATGATCGGTCCATGCATTGTAGTGGGGGTGTGTCTTGGAAAAGGCGATCGCCGCAGATGTTGCCTCAGGCACGATACGGACAGGTGCAGTGCGTATTCACTCCCTTGGCACTACGAGCGTTGCACTACTCGGGTGTCGACGCACGTCTCTGACAGGACAAAATATGAAGGTCAAGGAGGGGGACAAGGAAGATAAAGGGGGAAAGAGAGAGAGAGAGAGAGAAGCAAACATATGGGTAGACAGAGAGAGGGGTGACAAAGGAAGCAAAGAAGGGAGATCCAGCGGCCCCCTTCTGAGGCCATCAGGCTGCGAGGCGGAGGTGTCACAGTTCCCAGCTCCAGCTCCAGTTCCACGTTCTGGTTCTGGAATTTCTCTTTTCTAGTTCTACTGCTGTAATGGTTTGAGTCCGCGCGAGGGGGGGGACCTGAAAGTATCCACTAACCACGCCCAAATCGCGTGCTCCAGATTCCCGTGGGTAGCAGATTAGTGCTAAAGAGACCAGAACCCATTGCGAATTACGTCGCGGTCGCGGCCCCGAGGCCACAATCCGTTGTGAAGTACACCAGGTTCGCGCTCCTAACGCCATTATCCTTTATACATTACAGCGTATTCGCGTTTCGAAACCAGCAGCGATGGTAAACCAGGCCAGATTCGCGATCCCCAAATAACAATCCGGCGTCACGTACGTCAGATTCGCGCTGCCAAAGCCACGACCCCTCGTAACTTACGCCGGGCTCGCTCCCCCCAAGCCACAATCCATAGGCGCGCGATCTCGAGACCACAACCCCTTACAGATTACGCCAGACTCGCGCGCCCCAAAACCAGAGTACATAGTAAGGTGCACCACACGTGCGCCCCCGAAGCCACAGTCCCTGGCATATCGTTCCAGACTCGCGCTCCCAGCGCCACAACCCCCTTGTGCATGTCAAAGGCTCTCGCTCCCCAGGCCACGAGCCTCACCACTTATGGCAGGCCCCTGCCCACAGAGCCACAACCCAACACGATTTGGATCGAACTCGCACCTCCGAGGCCACAATCCCCTGTGAATTGCGCCAACTTCGCGCCCTGCTGGCATGATTTCGACAAGCTTGCGCCCCCGAAGCCAAACTCCCTAGCAAATCACGACGCGTCGACCCTCCCGAAGCTAACTTGCGCATCCCGAGGCCACAATCCGTTGAAAATACGCCAGGTTCGCGCTCCCGAGGCCACAACCCACCGTAACGAATGAAAAGCTTGCGCCCCCGAAACCACAACCCCTTGCAATACACTACGACTTGAACCCCCCCTTCCCCCGAACCACAATCCCTAGCGAAGTATGCCAGGCTCGCGCCCCCCAAGCCACAGTACTTTGTAAAGTACGCCAGGTTCGCGCTCCCGAAGCCACAACCCCTCGCACAGTACAACAAGCTGGCGTTTCCGGAGCTGTAACACCCTGTAAAGTACTACACGCTGGCGCTCCAAAGGCCACGAACCCACCACTCGGAGGCCGCCCGAAAGCGCAACCCCTTCCCAGGACAGAACAGCTTACAGGTTCTGCATTAGGATGTGTGTTCGTGGGGGGGGAGCGCTGCTCGCCCCCCCCCCCACCCCGTCTCGTCCTGAGAAGGCGGCTCGGGGCTCGAGGCCAAGAGTCCTCATACGTCACTGGTGGGGCGCGCTCCCTGAAGATCACCATCGCTCATCGTTGATTGCAGGCGCGCGCAACCAGCTGGCCAGTAAGCAACCCAACTCAAATGCAACAGCTGATCAGACGAGTCGCCAGGCAGCCAAGCGACGAAAATATCAACTCAACCTACCAACCGAGCGTGGCCATGCAAGCAATCTGAGGGGGGCGGCGGCAGTGGACAAAGCCCTTCAGAAACATAATATGGATACATCGAAGATGAACAACCAGGATAAGCACTACGATGAGTGAGGCATGGCACTGGAGACGCACAAGGCGGCCATGCATAGACACTGGGCCAACACAAAAGCAAGAAAATGGTGGTCGCACTCAAGCTGGAGGAGCACGCATCTACGATCAGGCGGTGAAATGGCATCGCGATCACTTGAGAGACGGTGTGAATAATAAGTTGTCAAAGGCAGTGCCACGAGCCTCTGGCCACGACGTTATCGAAGGGGTGCCGAGCAACCTGAAGACGCGGAACAAGTGGTCTATCTCGGAATCGGACTGGAACAGGGCTTTAGAGGTAGCCGCCTGACGGCGAGTGAAACTGAAGGTGCGGGAAGAAGGAAACTCATCATCACCGCCACAACCATGTTCGTCACCGTCATCGCCACCACCATTCTCTCAATCGTGATATTGGTCAGGGTCCCTCCAAGAAGATGCAAGCGGCCCCTCGTTCAGACACACGCCAAGACCTTTAAGCAGAAAGACTGCTTCGGGAACAGCAGACAACACCGCGACGCAGAGTGGCGACTTCATCACGCAACTTGACAAAGAGCACGACGAGACACATCAACAACCCAACCAAACAGCAGACCAACGCAACCCACGATCGCGTTGCGACGGCCCTGTGGGCTCGGATACTTCGGGCATGATGTTATCAGCGTCCTGATTGGGTCCTGATTGGGTTTGGCGTGATCATGGCGAGGTCCTGGCACGGACCTGCCCAAAGCCCCATTGTGGAATTGCTTGGTCATGCTGTCTATGTTTCAAGTGCTGGTAGAATCCGCCGACCCTGTCGGCGTGTGTGGGGTGTCTGTCCGGTTCCGGGAAAAAGAGAGGAGGAGGTCCCTGACCTCTCCCGTTGGGAAAGAAAGGGGAACGGGTTCGCCGCCTGAGGGAATTCCATCCACGTCCTCATTACGTCAAATGGAAGCCCCTGCCCTTTGTCTCTTCCCCGGCGGGGGGGTGGGCCCGGGGGGGGGTCAAATTCGCATCCCCCGTTTGCAGCTTTGACACTTTGACAGAGGGGCCCTCTGTAGATGCACTGGAGGAGGGGGAAGTCGCCACGACAGGTCCGCATGAGCGCCCCTAGACGGCCCAAGCTCGGGGGCTCCAAGACGGCCGAAGGATGCCGCCCAGATACGTTTCCCCCTCAAGCGCCCCCAAATCCACCAAAAACTGTTTTCAAAAGGCCCAAGATGGCCACAACACCTCCTCCTCCTCCTCCTCGTCCTCCTCCTCCTCCGCCTCCTCCTCCTCCCCTTCCTCCTCCTCCTCCTCCTCCTCCTCCTCCTCCTCCTCCTCCTCCTCCTCCTCCTCCACCCTCTTCCTCCTCCAATTCCTCCTCCTCATCCTCCAATTCCTCCTCCTTGTCCTCCTCCTCCTCCTCATTCTCCTCATTCTCCTCCTTCTCCTCCTCCTCCTTTTCCTCCTCCTGCTACCCTCCTCCGCCTCCACCTC